CAACTATGAATATGTCAATATAATGAAATTTCATTCTTCATATTTCTAACAGATTCCCTCAATAAGGATACTGGCATTTTATCAATGTCCAGATGACAGTTTAGGTAGTGCACGCAACATTACCAAGCTTCTTTCCATCACCACAAGGGACTTTTACACAGAAGAAATAAGCTAACTGCCATAAAATGTAAAGTATTGCCAAAGTGCATCACAAACTGTGAGGAACAGGCCCGGTTTTACTGCTGGGTGTCTTGTTTGGATCTTTTTGTTGGTGGTATTTTTATTTACTATTGGAGTTTATGCAGCATGTGGATGCTGCCATGTCTTTGCCTGTTCTTGTGTACATGGAGCAAAAGGAGTTGGTCAGACACTGGCCCCAGAAACAAGGTATTGAATCACCTCAGGTCAGCCCTCAGCAGATGTCTGAAGACCAAGTGGAAACAGACCCTTACTTTCTGCAGCCTTTATTTCTGCAGGTCTGTGCCCAGCACATCCCCGTTTCTCATCAGGCTAAAACACGTGGAACAAACTGCTCTGCCAAGGGATTGTGCAAAAAGCATTCACATTCTCAAACTGTCTTCTCAGGGCCTGTCAAATTTCAAGAATAAGCCTTGTTTGGCAGCCTCAACTTTCATAAAACTGCACTCCAAATCATTAGCTCTGTCATATGGACCAGCTACATAAGTGACACCTGAAATCTCAGAATAAAGCATTTAAGCCAAATAGCACAGACACATTTTTATCTCTAAAGGCTTGGCAGGATGAAATATTCACACTTTCTGCATGACATTCATCTTTATACACCCTCGCCCTCATCTACACAGTAAATGTACACAACAGAAAATTAAACGCCCAAACTGAACAGATTCTCTTCTCATCTCTGTGGAAACCTGCCAAGGCCCAGTCATCTGCCTTCCTCAGCCTTCTTTCTTTTTCACAAACCCCACCCCTTCCACATTTTGCAGAGATGTGGAAACCACTTCTGCCCCAAAATATAGAAACAAACATGGAATAATGCAGGAGCAGTCCTAAACCTACCCCAGGAAGTCTACAATCGAGCTGGTCCTGAAATTCCCCGTGCCACCACCAACCATCATCCCTGCCCATCTCAAATCACAGTCTAGACTGCAGGCTGACTACATATGCAGCTACTCAAGAATGCGGACAAACATCATTGTGGAGCAATTACTGTCAGGCTTCAACTATTGCTCAAGCTCCAGCAACGTCACAGAACCAACCCAGCCCTGCAGTCTGCATTTTCACACTAATCCTGGTCTCTAAATCCTTGCCCGGAGACAACTCACACAGACACCCAGAATTTCAGCATTTTGCTTTCAAAACACTCAGTCCCTGCACACAGCTTATCACAAAGGGCACAGCAGGGTTCAAAAATAAACACAGCTTTGCAGCACCTATTTTGTGGATTGTTTAGCCAAGCTTGCTGTTGACATCTGCAAACTCACAGAGGCTGAGGATTATCAATAGATTTAAATTCCCTAATCTGAATTTTTGGACGGCCATGTCCTTAAATCTGTTTTCTTGGATAGCTTTTGGGTTTGTCCTTGATAAAATACTAACAGAAATCAAATCCCAAAGAGTATACGCCAGCATTACCAACACTTCAGTAACTTTCCATTGTTAAATTTCAAGAAAGCTCTGGTTACTTTGTAAATTAACAATCTTAAATTACAGAAAAATGTTGAAATTACAGTGGACAGCAAATAAACTTTCAAAAACAGATTTAAAAAAAATCTCATTTATATAAGCTTCTATTTGCATTACTGAATGCAAACTTAACTAGAACAAGAGTGCTATTGTCATCAGAAGGTGAAGCGTTGGATTTTTCAGAATGGGAAATCTGGATCTCTTTACTCTTCTTACAGGAGGAATTGTATGATGAGCTAAGGAGTCATCCTGAAGAGATATAAGGCCCAAGAAATAGTCTCTGCCCTGAATTAGGAATCAAAACAAGTCCCTCAAAAATCTGTAGCAAACTAATGTTTTTGCAGTGGAAGCAGACTATAATATATTACAGTAACTTTCAAGTGAGAATCTCAGGACAAAACAGGTAAATTAGAATATCATTGGTTTATTCTTATTTGTGGTTGTCCATCAGATATTCACTATCATCTTTATTAAATTAGAATATCATCAGTTTATTCTTACCCTGATGGGCAAGTGCAGCACTAAAGGAAAAATAGAATAAACACAGATCTTGCTACTTACTTCAATGGCATTAAGCTTCATGTGTAAATATTTTGCATGTATATAAAAAAACTTCCTAATACCCCTTGTGTAGTGTGTAGTAGTTCTGTCTCCAAGGTATAAGAACACTCTAGGTAAAGCCCATGCACTAATGATAAACCTACCTGCTTCCTTAGTACAAACATGATTAAAGTAGACTTTTTTATCTTCAGCCTATCAAATACCTTACAAGTTTTAAATGCACAACTTCACAGATAAAGTCTTCCAAATACATTTTTGACAAAAAACATTCTTTGTAGAAATGATGTTAGTTCTAACCTTCAGAACAGACACGGAAGTCAGTATCTGACTTAAGAATTAGGTTCAGAAGGGAACTGCATATTTTTAGTCAAAGGTGTTAAGTAATCTGCAATTAAATGGATATAGTTACTGCCATTAGCTACACCTCAGCTAACATTTCAGATGTTTAGCCATCATGTTTACAAATGTACCACACACTAAACGGCTCCAATTACCAATATACTTTTTACGCTGTACATCCTAAGACATTATTAAATTTTCCTTGAGTTACAGTATTGTACACTGTTAAAATTTACTTTGTTTATTGTTTTATTATAATTAACTTTAAACACTATATTTTCCATGAAGTGGTTATTTAAATTCTCAACAATAATTGTTTTTTGTAAGCATTTTCTGAAGATCTTTAATAATTTTTGTGAGATTCAATCGTTTGTTACAAAACTTGACGTAAAAATATGTGGTAAGCATCCTCTTCTCTTGCTTGACCTTACTCCATGACATTCTTTCAAGCAACTGTTTATCACAGAATTCTTTTACTCAATTTAAGGATTATGACATTACATCATGTTTTGTTCAAACTAGAGCTGCATAGAAAATTAATTGTTTTGCCTCAAAATAATATCTCTGCTTTTGATTTAATTGAAAATAAGTCAACAGTTTCTGATTATAAAATTAACCTGTCTGGAAACACAAGGATAACTAAGTGGGTAGTATAGGAAATACAGCTGATTCAGGATTTGCTAATGGGCAATTTGTCTATCATTCATCTTTTGAATTACAGTACTGCTATGCAGTCCCAATACTAATACTGTAGGAGTGACCTCTAGAAAACTAAACCAATCAATCTTCTTTTTCAAACATGCTTAAATTAAATTATGGTATCGTACGAGTCACTTATGCTTCTGGCATACTACTTGACTCCCATTTTCAATGTTCTGATATAACTCCATTTTTCCGTGTCGCTGAACCAAGCTGCTTGGCTAGTGCTCTTGCCTCATGAGCACCTCCTATACGAATGTATTGATGAATTTGATCCTCGAATCACAAGGCAAAACTTTCCCACCTTTCCCAGCAGAAAAAAACATGCAAGAGAGGAGTGAAGAGTGAACAGCACTACCTGTATTATTTTAAAGCTTTTGAGTTCATACAAATTAGGGAAGCTGCATTGTAATTCAGTATGAAAGTGAAGAGAGCCTTGTTTTTTTCATTTTTCTCCTGCAGAACTACATCTCCTGTACTCACCTACTTACTCATGACCTTCTAAGATGTTGAAGTCCAACAAAACAAGAAAATTACATACGAGAGACAACCTCTGTCTCTAGAACACTACCCCATAAACACAATTACTCATTTGGCTTGTGTGTTAGTGCAAGCTTCTGTCTCCCACCTCAGCCTACATATTTATGCTTAATCAAACATAAAAGAAAGAGCTAGTGAAAACAGAGTTCTGCCTGAAGATGTCAGCAGTACCAGCCCCAGTGTCCAGCTTTCTAAAGGTATGGCAAGGACCAGCTCCAAAGAGATCTGGCACCGAGATCTCCATTTAGACACCTGACCACTGGCAATATATTTTCATAAATACCTATTCTGTTTAATGCAAACAATATAACCTAGCTTAATAAACCCTTGAAGCAAGTAACAGCTTTGTTTTTCCTCTTCATGGAAGCATTTTGATTTGTACATACTTCGACATCATGCTTCTGAAATAAAACTTACAGCACCCTCCCATGTACAATTACTCTTTTTATAGATTATTCCCATCTTCCACATAGTTTAAACATACTCCCTGGATTTTCAAAGAAGGATGTAGGGAAGTGGGTAAGGATTCTGTGTTTTCTACTGATTTTTATCCTCAGTTGAGTTTCTAGTTTAAACACTATACAGATTCCCACCAAGATTTCATAGATCTCTTAGAAAACCCTGTCAGAGTAAGCTTTATGAAAACACTCTCTCCCTAGTGTTCCCTAACCTAATTAAAAACTCCTCGTTGATTTTTTGTTTCAAAATAGCACCAGTCTAAAAATACTATCATAAACAAACAGCAGTGAGCCACAGATCGTTAGTTAGGACTTGGTACAGAATACTTAACGAAGGGAATCAAGATGAAAAGGAATATAATTCAATCTTTGATTTTGACAGGGGAAAAAATGTATCATTGTTGTGTTTTTTAAAGAATACAAAGCTTGTTCAAAGACATCCACAAAATGCCTCAAGGCAGAAATGACACTACAGTTTCTCTTATGCTCAGAATGTATATCACTGTATTTAGTTTACCCATCATAAGTATTTATTTACCTATGGTGTAAAAACACAAGTTTGGCTTTCAGAACTTTCTGTTTCAATTACCAGACATGCTAAGACAACTCTCTTTGGCTTACTTTTCTAAGTCAGGAAAGACACACTTGATTCAAAATTACATGTATTCTGATTCATGATCATGATTAAACTTTAATAACAGCTCTCACATTAAATGTTTACCATTATAAAGGTCTTACCTCAAAAATTTCAAAGCCATAGATGTCCAGCACCCCCATTACCTTCTTTCTCACTTTTGTTTGCGCCTTAAAAAGATAATAATTAAACATTGAGTCAGTCATCTGTACATTTCATACCTGGGAATCAAGAAAAGTAATGTATCTCATGAGTAGGCTGTCAAAGTCTGTAAACTAAAATGTTAAGTATGGTGTCCCAACATATACATGGCATGAATTATTTTATTAGCTTAAAAACAGAGCATACAGCAATTTGTTGAGCTGTGATATAGTTATTCACCTGTACCATGTCTAACAGTGTACAACTAGGAAACAGAATTCTACCAACCACTTTAAAGGGTTTCTATTGATTTTTTTACAGGCACAAAACAATGATACCTTAATGCTTTCATTGATTCTGGTAACAAGCCAAGAGAACAGTCGACTGTATAGATTCTTAGCCAGAGCATCACGGGCGTAGTAAGCCTAAACAGAAGAAAGAAGAAAAATGTTATAAATGCTGGGCTAATCCCAACATTTTTGTTATTGACATATCTTAAAGGTGCTATGAACCTTTAAGTGGAATGGCTCAGGAAGCAGTGCCTCTGTCCAATCAGGCAACAAAGCCAGTCCAGCGGTGTCAGGACACTTTGGCATTGTTAGCCTGGTGATGTACCCCTCTGCCTTCCGGGCCACAGGCTGGCTGCTGTGGAACTGCAGCTACAATGAGGGCATTTCAGCTCCCTTTCTGCTCACCCAGATATCCTCTAAAATCTCACATCCCCCATCCTAATCTTAGGCAAAGGGAGTTGAGCAGCTGCAGACAGGGAAACAACATTCCTGCTAGCCTGAGCTGATGAGACACAGGTGGCAATCACACAACATTACAGAAAGATAAGTCCACACTGGCAGCAGCAGTTTTTCAGCAACCCGGGGGCATATAACTCACATGAAATTACACCAGTTGCTCTAAATGAAAACAGTCTGCCATAACACTTTCAACATGCCTTTGTGCGGAACTGTTTCATCTTTTCATTCTCTGCAACCTTTTCCTATCCCTCATCTTTTTGAGGTAACCCACAAGCAAAACATCCAGTACACCTGAACACTTAGAAACTGCTGAAGAAAAAACATGCTTATGTTGATTATACATCCTATTCAGAACACCCTATTAGTTGTAGCTTTTATTTGGGCAGTCATGGTTTAGTCATGTAGAATAAATTGCCATTTTAAACAATTCTTTTCTTTTAATTCAGGTGTTCTTTTTACCTGAGCCACATTCAGTGTTGTTGAAACTTTCTCTTGCTTGGCTTCAACCGTCCGGAAGCTGAAAGCTCTTTCCAACACAGACTGGTCTATACCTGTCAACTCGCAGATTTCCTTGAGTTCTAACATGAAAAAGCAGAGTGTAAATATAATGAATCCTTTTGTATCATTGCTTTTCCTTCCACAAAACTACTGGCTTTTAAGTAGTTCAGTATTTTCCCAAATCAGGTTCTCTTCAAGAGAAATGTCCCCCACTTAACACTTCCTGCCGGCTACACAGTTGCCAAGCAAAGCTTCTTAAAAATATGCATATCACGAGAAAACAGAGTTATTAGTTTTGAAAGCACTTTCTATCTGGTTATTTTTGTGAAGCTAAATACCTGATTTTCTGTCAGTAACTGCTTTTCATGAAGAAAAACTTCCAAATGAAAATAAATGAACTTTCAAAAGGGATCAACTGCAAAAAACATGACGAAATGAATCTGACGTTACAGGCAGAGATGCCCTACTATAAAAAACAAAAGGCCTTCACTGCAGAATAACCAAGCCCTGACAGAAATTCATAGCACCATCTAACATTTCAGAAAAAAGTGTTAAGAAAGTGGAAAAAAAAAGAAACTAATCATTTGTGGAATTTCAAACAGGACAATTGACATTGCACAGAATTCAACTCATATTTGCCTGTGGGTGAGTTCTGGAAACAATCTAATTTAATTCAGCTGTAAGGTACAGTACGTCTACAGAAATTACAAAATTAGTAATGGCTTCAGCCAAATTAGTGTTTTTCCTGCCATCACTAATCTCATCTTACCATTTTTATCTTTGATTTTACTCTCATCTAGTCCGTTCACACGAGATTCAGGCTTAAATTCAATATTTCCCAATTTCAGAACGGCTGCCACCACTTCAAAAACAGACTGCGTTTCATGATCCATAAAGCCAACTATCTGCATTGCATTCTGGAAAGGGGACAGATAAAACTATGAGATAAAAGAATCTACACAGACACACACATATATATAAAAAGGTTGAATAACAATGGATGTGAACGTCAATCCAGTCCTTTTCTAGTATTCCTCCAGTTTATGTGTTTCTAAAATGCAGTACTTCTTTTTTTAAAGCCACTTAATTAAGTTTGTAACCCAACCCAGTTTTCCACAGTCAAATGACCAGATACTGCTGTCTTCTTGGTTTACTCTGTTGCTCTAAAAGCCAGTCACTTTCAGAATCTCAATTTGCATAGACTGGGTAACAGGGTCCTGTATTATCCTTATCCCTGAGTACAATCAAGCAAAAAGCACCATGGTAAATCATCTTGAGAACCATCCCAGCCTGTTTTTCTTTTCACTTGGTCAGCATCACTGGGTTCGTGAAGCTCAGTCGCTGCCATCATAAGCAGCTACACAATGCAACCTTTTCCACAGTCTCACCAAGGGGCCTGGGCTGCTTTTTTATTCTCCTTTCTTTTTAATTTCTGGTCTTTTTTATATTTCCACTAGAATATATCAGAAACTTGGTTCTTTGCATTTTCTAGTTGTACCTAAGTTTCCCTGTACAAATATGCTATACTCTTGCATGAAAGGTGCTAGCACTCAGAGAAGGTGGCCCTCTCAGCCCAGCCCAAGAGGCCAGACCTAGGGCACAAGAACTCTTGTTCTTATTCATGTTGAGCCCTTTGGGGTTTACACCCAACCCCTGTTTCTTCTTACCCTAACAGTTCTGAAGTTTGCAGCATCATCCACACCATTCACTTTGGCAGAATCAAGGCCCAGGTAGTTGTATCTGCTGAAGTCCCGCTCCAGTTTAAGTTTGCCTAATAAATCAAATAAAAATAACATTAGTAACAGCATGCTTGTTAGCTCCTTTATCCCTGAATTAGTATTGTTAAGACTTGTTGTTACTAGTAGGTTTAAGTTTTCTTCAAAGATCTTTATTATAAGCCTTCTTAATAAGAATAGGCTTTCTTCTTTTCTTATAATACACTGCAAAGCCATTCCTGACTCAGATATCCAGCTAATACCAAACCATATATTTACTTCAGGTATTACTATTGCTGCTACCACCATATCACATTTCCCAAAAAAGATGATAGGTGTGGAACAGCACATTAAGTATGAAGAAAACCCACATCTGAAAATGGCACAGGGGCAACACTTACAGAGGAACTCTTCTGATGCACCAGAGAGTATCTGATAGAAAATGTGAAAGTTTCTTTCGCCTCTTGGCTGCTTAACAACACGAGACTTCTCCAGCAGATCTAAACAAGCAAACAAAATCTTACATGTCAGGGAAAGACTGATGGAGCAAAACTCTTTTATGTGAACATAATCCCCCATCGTTTTCTACTTCATTGCTTTATATCATCATCAGCAAATTAGAAGGTGATAAATGGTAGGCACAAACCTTATCAGAATGTATGACATCAGTATATATTTCTCAAATGAGTTATTTGAGCAAGCTGTAAACCCAGTATATTCACAAAAGCTGCAGTCTATGAGCTGCAAAGAAAACTCACGTCGGGGAGACAATCAATGTGGTGCTCAAAAGATGTCAACCAATTTACAGTACCATCACAAAATTAAGACTTGGTGAGAATAATTATATGGGTAAAGGTTTGAAAAGAACTGAAATGTCAACAGGCTAAGCACAGGGAAGATGGGGAAGCCAAATAAAGAATTTAAACTGAATGATCATGGAGCACTTTGTGATCCTCAGGTGCATCAGACTATGAAATAACTCTCAATGAGACTGACAGAAGCTCCATCATAAGACACTTCAAGCGAAATGGAAAAGCAGCACTTTGAAAAGCATCATTGCACTCATTGAGTAGTCTGACAAGATGACTTTGACCACCGCCATGAGTGATGGGCGCATTTCTAAACCTTACCCATAAGGGCAGGAATCTAGGCAGACAACAGAAGCAGCCTGACTTGTAACACCTTGCAAACACTTCATACACTCCATCATATTTACCATGGAGGTGACAATACAAAGCTGGGGACCACAGCCTTTACCACATGGAAAGGCTGTAGTTCCCAGTGCACTAGGGAAGGTGTGCAATAAGAGAACCTCGGACAGGTATCAGTGTTACTTACCGGTTTTTCCTTCTTTTCTAACTGGCAAACAAGAGCTCCATACCATTTTTCCAGATAGCAAACCCACAGTTCCCAGTACATAATTTCTCTTAAGCTACATATATCCAGTGACATGAAGACAGAGACATTTGGTGCCTCATTCCAAGTACACAACAAAGGAGTTTCCCCCTGCACCTATCACTACATAACCACCACAGCTGTCTGACTAGGGTTAAGCTCATGCTTATGAGCTATGCTCATGCAAGAAGAAAGCTCCAAAAGGGAAGTTAACACAGCCTGGATGTCAATCTACAGAAGAGCTCCCACAAAGTTGAGACATTCAACAATGGTAAAACACAGGGAACACCAATTCATTTAAGGACATGTGGGGTTGCTAAACTCTTCCCCTGCCTGGCTACTGTAATATCCAGTGAAACTGAGCCTGTTTAGTTTTAGCAATCTGGAAAGTTAGAGGCACTGATTGGTGCAGCCCCTTTGTGCTGCAACCCCCCCTCTATCCCTGCCATGGGATGCTGCTGGGGAGCAGGTACCTCTGTGTCGGGCTTCAGCCCCTGGGCTCCACTGGCTTTCTGACACACCACTGCTTAGCCCAAGGGGAGTGCCTGCCATGGGCAGAGCAGTGCAATAGAGTCCATTCACATTTTCTCTAGCTACAGGCAGAATGTTGTGCCTGTGTTGCCCACCTAATGTACTGTGTGACCCCATGAGAACTTTGGCCTTTTCTGAACAGAGATTTGTATTTTTATAACTCAATAACCCTGCAGTATTTTCCTTCCAAAGGTGTCCCTGTTTCAGCACCTGGAAGTTTTGCACATCCTGATGACAAAGCACACCCAAGACACACACAAACAAGTGGCTGCCACATTTGCCAGCAGCTCATCTTTACATTAGGCTGGGGCAGGTTACAGATTTCCACTTTTGCTTTTTCCATTTCATTGACATCTTTTCTTTCCTTAAACACAAGACTAACATCTGACTGTTGATGCTATGCTGGAAAAGCACAGACCAGAAGCTGTAGTTCTCACCAGCAGCCTGGTGTGCAGCCACTCTGCTTCTAACTTCACCTGCATTTGGTGCTCTCCTCTTTGAGCTGTGGTTCAAAATCAGTCATCCTATTTAGCCTAACCAGTTAGCTCATCTAACTATTGGATACCTGGTCCTCTCTAGATTTTAATGCATAACTGAAAGGGAGAGCCTGGTCCACAATCCACCCAAGTGTTAATAATTGGGCTGAGAAAGGCAAGGTGAGGGCCAAACAGTTCAGTCACACTGGCTGTGAAGGCTCTCCAGTGAAGTGTTGGAATGGACTGCAGCCAAATTTAATCTCAAAGAAACAAACAACTTCAGCTCCCGCAGTGGTTACACACAGTTCAGGAAACGGCTGTATTTCCAAAGTGTATTGAAGCAGTATGGCTTGGCTTATTTGGGTTTAAAATATTCTACATATAAATTTACTCCAACGCTGTCACAAAAGCTCAGCTACATATTGTAAGCCTTCTTCTAATTACATGCATGCCTTCAGCAGATTTAACAAATAGTTTCTTGAACATATGCCAAATTAGCTATGTTAGAAGGATAACTATCTTGGATTTTTCATCTTATTTATATACTCAAGAAGCAACAAGGTTAACCAATTAACAGTTGGCTTCCCAATGCCCCAACATTCCATATTCTGCCAGCCTTTGTAATTGAGGGAAAAAGCTCCAGAAAGCAGTTACTGATGGAAAATCAGGTATTTACCTTAACAGAGCAGTTGCTACCAATTCTTTCTAAAGCTATATTTATTCTCCTTTTTTCCCCCTTTTCTTTCTGTTCACATGCAGACTGAAACCAGACTGGTAGAAAAGACCCAGACCATCTGCCCTGCTCTTCAGAAATCTTCCCTTTGTTTGCCCTGATTAGCACTTCAATATATCAACCAAATATATTTCCCTTAAAGCAACTACTGCACGACCTGTAGCTTTTGTGTTAACTCTCACATGGTTACAAATTCTGCGGATTAAGCATCCCAGAGAAGACTTCTGCATGCATCCACTTGGCAATTCTGTTTACAGCAGCATGTGCAGGCAGATGGTGCTTATCTATATGAAAACCCACACAAGCAAAAAAGCCGAATCTCTATACATGTTACATTTTGTTATATAGTCTATATAAATTATACATAGTGACTATACGGATTTATCTGGAGAGAACATACAGAACAACATATGGTGTATTTATGGATTCCTTCCGCATTATCTAACAATACTTCTGCCTGAATGGAAACATTTAACATGTTGATTGTATTAAAGCAAGTGTAAAAATTAAATTACTTTGGAAGGTCCACCCTGGAAACACTTCTTAAATCATCTTGTTTGAATATCCATCCATTCAGATGACTCAAAATCCACCTACATTCCTCAGGTGCTGAAGATTATTTGTTATTCCCAGATAATACTGGCTTAAATGCGAGAGATCTGTGTGAGCATCCTGCTAAACCATTTAACTGAACTCAACATGATGAAATTAAATGCTAAACCAAGAAAAAACAACAGTACCTTGGTACATTCTGAATAATCCAGGAAAAGTTTTAGTCATAGTCTCTTTAGCTGGCCATGGCCAAGGACCTTTATAGCTCTTCAACCAAAGTTACAGAATATTTTGCTGAATTCTCTCTTCTGTTTTCCTACTTCGATTCTTCAGCTGCCTCCAAAAAAGCCACTAATGAAGAACAAAATCCAGTAGTGGTTTCTCAGGGGTATTTTCCCATTATTCCGATCAAGTTTATACTAATGTTCGCTTGAATGAAATGATCGGTAACTGTATCAAACAAAGGCTACCATTTGGGCAGTATGTGCAGTGAAAATACAATGACTACACAGTTTCAAGAGTGTTAAACCCTGATTACTCAGGTGACAAGTGATGTTTAAAAATGAGCTAATCAAAATGTTTAGTATTGTTTGAGTTTTTTAAACACTTTCTAATTTAGGCAAGGCAATTGCCTTAACACTGGCAACTGTGCTAGCAGGGAGACCAAGGGAGATGTTGGAACAAGTTAAGATTAAACAAAAACCAACAAGGAGTATCTCCTTCCACAGTGTCTAATTGTAAAATTTGTGTAATATTTCCCTAAGCAAAGGATCTTACTAACAGCAATCACACAACTAAAATCAACAGCCCAAGTTGTTGATTTCTCAGTAAGCGGTTAATTACTTTTGTCTTTTAAGATGAACAAGTTGTAAAGAAGAACATGCTGTAAAGTTATCACTATCACTTCGCTAACTTTAAAAAGTTGCTGCTTTAAATAAACATCATAGGCTTCTTTCATGTTCTTGGAAAAGATGGCCAAACAGAGGCCTTTCTTAATCACTTGTTATTTGGACTTCAGGTATGCTGTGCTGGTTAAAAACAGCTTTTTCAAAAGCAGGTATTACATATACTGTACTTCACCTGCAACACTGTTGTCTTCTAGTTAATCATTAAATCAGTGAAGGGCTTAGGCAGATTAGGAAAGATCACCTAATGCTAGAAGCTAGGTATCTTTCAACAGGAAATTCCAGCTGAAATGTGAAAATTCAAGACTTAGAAATATTCTGGGAAAGATATTATAAAATCCCTACTTTTCAAGAGGTCTGAACAACTTCAAGTATGAAATATTTTGGACTGTACTATGCAAAACCATTTCAACCATAAAATTTAGTGTACACAAAACAGTCACAAAACTAACAAACCAAGTGTGCACACAAACATTGCCTTCAGTACAAAACAGATGCGGCATCTGTGGACAGAGTCATATTTTAGAGCTGTACAAGATACTGCACCTATTACTTCAAAACCAAACATGCCCATTTTTACACAAAATACGTATTATTCTATAATTACAGGAGGTAAAGAAACTACTATTCTCCTTTCTCCTGCTCTCACCCCCACTAACAGAATAGTTACAGTAAATGGAAAACTAAGAATAGTATTACTGGTTTCTGTAATGTATTTCCACAATGTTGTACCCAGGTGAAAGCAAGTTAATTACACAATTCTCCAAATGCCTTTCCTCACAAGTGTTTTGGGGAAAAAAAAACCCTCTAAGCACATAAGCACTGATAAGACTCTTCATTGCAACACCAGCAACTGTGAGCACCTCACAGGAGGACAGAAACAGCAGACACACTCATACTCAATTCAGTAAGAGAAAATGTAAACGCAATTAACCTGTTTGTCAATGCATTTTAAAGCAGCAGCACACCTTTCAGTAGGGACTGGTGTAATGGGATGTCTACAACCACAAGTGACAGTACAGTGAGAGTTCAGTGTTCAGAAATGCTCACAGGAGTAATTTGGCCTCCCAATCCCACCCCCGCAGGAAACAGGTCAGCCAATGAATAGATGGGCTTTTTGTTAGCTAGCACCAGGACTATGCCCCTCATCTTACATGGGTTCCTGCATCTCCCACGCATTAGGAAAACAAATTGGGACCTTCACATAAAACTAACGAAAAAGGAGGACTTGAACAACTTGGGCTTACAACATACCTCAGCTTACTCAGCCTTCTTCACCCTTCTGCTCTCCCCCAGCCCTTGGGTGCTGCCGACAGAGAGTCAAATAACTATAACACATACTACCTGAAATAAGTTTTCGTTTGTAGCCTAAAGGAAAAAATTCCTGACTCAAGGAATAAACTTGAAGTTCTAAAAATTATGCTCATCTCAGATTTTCCACTCTCAGTTTCTTTTCATGACTGCACATACAGCAACACATCAAATGCCTTGGAAATCAGTGCAGTAGGAAGCTCTGAGCAGCCATGTAATGTACATGTGATTGGTCTACGTGCATTTTACACTGTTCAAACATGAAGTTATCTTCAGTTTGGGAACATACCAGTTCTGACTTAATAGGTGTCGCAAACCCTTTCCATTACAATCTCTTCCATTTTATTATTACCATTCTAATTTTACTCAAAGGATTTATCCTTCCATTTATGGCACATTACAAATTTCAGATCTCTTTGCTCCCACTAAAGCAAATGGACATTTCCATTCACTGCAAACTGGACAGGACAGACACAGTATGCATTGTCATTATAATTTTACCCTCTAGCTCCATTCCATGAAAGGTTCACTTGTAGGTTAACCCCTGTCATTAAGAAGTAAACGCTCACTGAAGGGCATCAGAAGAATTGCCCAAGGGTAGGTCACAATAGCGTCAGCCCTACATGAAGGGTCATGGACAGACTGACTAGCCTTTCACAGAGCTTCACAGCATTTCAGAGTAGGACAGGCCAGATAATTTCAAACAAGACCTTTCAGCCTAATGGGTCTCTGCTTATCTTTACCAGACTGATAAAATTTATGTCTTACCTACATTACCTTTCCTGCCACCAAAATAAATTAGATGTCCACGGTGTCTGCCTCCAGTCACTCATGATATGAAATACAGCTTGGTGACATAGGCTGTGACCCAAAAAGCCTACTAACTTCTTTGATATTTGGAAATCAAGCTCATCACATACAACTATTAAAGTTTAATCAAAATCTTATGATATCTTCACATCATATTAACACAATACCGACAGCTGGTCAGAAATCAAAGAATACTTATGACCAGTATAATCATACTTCCTTTTTAAGGATAGAAAACTTCAGCACTACTTCCTACTTGATGAATTAAGAAGACAAATCCTAAAACCAGAGTAAATTATAAGTGGTATAAAATAATGTTAAGCCGCAGTATCTCCAGAATGGTTATACCTCACAACAGGAACATTTCTATCACAAATCAGTGCTGCAGGTGTGTGGAAAAGATCTGACTCAGGACAATAAACTTGCTTTAAAACTATACAGAATTCAAACTCCTTTTTTAAAAAGAGAGGGATGGACTGTCAAATTTTATGCACATTACATGAAGTTCAACAAGTAACATCTTTACCACAATTTTTAAATTTAATCTTTAAATTTTTAAATTTCATCTTCTTGCTATTAGATATGTATTAATGTGAGAAGACAAGGAGGATGCCCAAAATAGGCAGCTTTTAGGAAAACCTAAAAATGTGTCTGCCCTTGATTACATTTGTCATCACATCATTATAATTACATGTAATGTTGTAATTACAACATGCAAAGATTTATAAGGCAGATAAACTACAGAGTAGCTACTTGGACTGCCTTTTGATATGACACAATATTTTAATTAGATGAATCAGCAGGGTACTTACAAACTGCTGAATGTCCACTACAAAAGAGGAGTTTTTTTCCTATGTATCTCTTCTGAACACAAAATAAAAAGGAACAAACACACAGCTAGCCTGCTACAACCTTTTTGTCCACATTTAATTATGAATGAATACACTGAGTATGTTTGGCCTCTGGTTTCACTACCAAATGTCAAAGTTAATAGATAGCCATAAACACTTCAATAGTGACTGCCTTGAGTTTCCAGATTTACTCTGTCACAAAAAATCATGCTCTTTCAGTTCCAAAAGGTGACCTGGTCCAGAAAAGATGTTTACCTTTTGAAAAAAAAAAAACCTCAAACTCTATATTTACGCAGAAAATGTTTCACAATGTTTTAAAATGTTGGTATTGCACATGGAGCACTCAGCTCACCTTGGATGATTCTCATTATTTCACAACCAGTAAAATGCCAATGGAGTCAGAAAGTCAGCCTTAGAAAGAGCGATGAATTTGGCCAAGTGCAAAGAGAGGTCAATGTTAGGTCAGTGACACCTAGTATAGTCACTCACTGCCCTCATCCATCCCTTCTTAAAAAAAGAGAAAAGCAAACAAACATAGCTTTATATAGCACAGAAGAACAATTTATTTTAAAAGCTGCATTTTAACTCTCAAAAGGAAAGAAAGATACAGCATACTGGGCTGGCATTCAGCTCACAACAGAAAGCTGGTTAAAATTCCTGAATCGCTATAGATTTTATAGCAGCATCCTCATGTCAAGTAACAACTCCAAGGCCACCTCTGCCTAAAACTAAACTCAACAGCCATTTGTCCTCTCTCATGATAAGCCTTTTCCTACTCTGTGAGGTATGTTAAAACTAGTACAGAATGCTTTGATTCCAAATAAACATACTGAACATTTGCTGACCTCCAGCATACTTTGTATCACTTTAAACATTACGAAACAGCCTATCTCAGACTCCATCTACCATAAATACATTACACATCAAATAAAGTCACAAAACTGACCCGAGGGATTCAAGCACGAAGAGTCTCAGATACCATTATCCATCTGCTATCTGCTTCAGAGACAGCATATGAACCCACACACATTACCAAGTACCTTTTACACAACACAGTAAGTTCGTTATTCATGCTTTCAAGTCTGTCTTCACTCACTAGAAGGCACCCTATTCAGCACCAAAACAATAAAATTAAAAAGCAGAATTTAACATGTAATGGAGAGATTTGATTAGACAAATGCAGCCCATCTTTTCAATAATTTAACCATCTTTCTTTTTGAACAAAAAGCTTTAAGCTGTTAATATGCTGATGCCAAGTGTAATACTCACAGTTGCTTATCACTCCTCCAAGCGGGTCACCCTTGAAATCAAACTCAATATCCATGTATTTTCCCTGTGAAAGCAACATAATTTAAGACTGCAAGTTCTGATTAAGAAAAACTGCTCAAGGCATTTTTAGAGTAGTTAGCTGGTCGTTTTTACAGTTTAAAAGAGAAATCTGGCACCTCCTGCACACTGTCAAATTCTGAAGAACAGAAAATGATTCAAAGCTTCTAAGACAATTGCATTATCACAGCCAGAGGTTTACATGAGAATAGCTTTAATCAGGTTTGTAACACAACCCAGTAATTTGCTCAGTTTCTAAGGTTCTATGAAGAAAATGTTATGTAAATGTTCTCTAGAAAGCCAACAATACCAATGTGGCCATGTAGGTATTATCATGCTTATTAACAGGAAATGCAGGAGGAAATGATCTTCCACAGAGACTTCTCAGTGTAAAATGTTTTCTGAGTGTGAATCAAGGCCACTGAAGGACAGCAGCACAGTTTGGCATGAAGGACTGGCTGGCAACAACTACTGTTAGTTAATCGTGGGGTGTCTGTCCCGAAGCGTGTGCCTGCCTTGTAAAAGTGATGGATTTTTCCCCACTGAACTCTTTCCCTTGTAACTCAGGAGACCAGAGGCAACAATTAGCAGACTGTCACCAGAAAAGCTATTTCATTTCTAGCTGTACTGGCACAGTGCATTTTCCTGACTCCTGTCTGACTTTTCCACATCACAGAAGATCGCTCTTGTCTTTGCATCATGTTAATGTATATGACAAGAATTTAGTGTAGTAACAGCTACATTTAACAGTGACAAAATGGACAGACCCATACTGTGTAGAAAAGGCAAAAGCAGTGCAGATTACATTGGCACAGAAGTTTAGAAAGATAAAAACTGCTGGTAGTAATTCAACCAAATTCCACAAACCATGCACAGAAATGATCTCACCACTCTCTGGTGCTTACTTAACAGAGGACAAAACCAACCTATTGAAAAGAGAAGCCTTGTGTTTATACTTGCTTATTCACTGCATTTAGGAAGAGCTTTCTATTTTTTCTTTCTCTTTTAATTACAGAACACAAAAACAAGCACTTTACACTGACTCCCTCAATGATACTTTCTAATTTACTGGGTATTTTGTCAAGATTGGCTTGACTACTTAAACTCTGTTCTTCTCCTTGCTGGCAGCTGAGGCATGCTACACAGGACAGTACTTGTACTTTCTTGTTTGAAGTTAATTCTGAGCTGATTCAAATTTCTGAGATAAGAATTAAATCAGATAATTATATTTTAATTTCCCAAGGACTGGGCCAGCTGGATGTTTCCAAAAGTATTTTTAGCTTTGTGTTTATAAGCAAGGACTTGAAAGGCAGAGTAGTAGTGGGTTGCAACTTTGTCCTGGAAAGACTTCTGTTTGCGAACGGCACCTCTTCTCCCCTTCGCTGTCTCCTCCTCTTTTCCATAGTATACCATCTCTCACAGCTCATTATTTCTAACCCTTTCTATCACAAAAAATTTCCTACAGTGCCTCAAATTTTGTCCCTGACCTTGCAATGAAGACCCTTTGCTCTGTTCACAAGAAGGGGCAATGACAGCTGCAGAAAGAGCATTCACAATATCATCAACCCTTGAGAATCAGAGACATCTTCCATGTGGAAAAAAGACACTTTCCTGTGTCACAATATTGCAGCTTTTATTCATTTGGTTTTACTCACAACGCAGCATGTTCACAGCGTATTAATTTGTCTTCTGTTGCCTACTTTACACAGCTCACAATATTACTCTTCTGCACATAAGTGAGCAAATTACAAAGTTGCCTTCAGTCTTTTGATTTTAGCAGGAGAAACTATGATGAGTACTCCCACATCTGAATCTCCCAACTTTAGTTTGCACTTTTGGCCAATTGCCAACTCCTATAATTCCACATTCAGTTTCATGCTAAAAAAAAAGCCTGAATTCAACCAGTTCATTATAAAGAATATAAGCAAAAAAAGTAACATTAGAAATGTTTATATTGAAACTAAAGTTGTGAGCACAGTTTGAAACATCAGAGAGAAAATGAGAACCTGAAGTAGCAATTTTAACAAAAAAATGTATAGGTATTGATGCAAAAGGAGATCACACAAAGATCAATTTGCTAAGCAGATCAGTTGCTAGGGACATGGTCACCGACATTAAAGCCACCAGTGCCAGAAAACTAAAGACTCCAGCTGTGCTGTAATTATGTTTTCATCCAGTCACAGACTGTCACATCCTAATTTATTTAGTTTTTCTTTCCTTTTTTTTTTTGCCTCAGCATTGATTCTCAGCAGAACTTTGTGCCCATATGAGACACCAACAAGATTTCTAATAGAAATCTAATAGATGTCTATTAGAATTCTATTAGAATTAGAATTATAGATTTCTAATAGAAATTCTAATCAGACTGCTAAAAATGCACTACTAACACACTGTGGAAGGAGAACACGTTTGAATGTACCAAATGAAATATTGACTGCTGCTGAAGGTGTCTGCCTTCTCCAAACACCACAACCCGCAGACAACTGTAAGAAACTTCTCTCTCCAAATTCTTCATTCCCTCCTTACAGGTGCTTTGATGTCTGATACAAGGCAAAAGAGAAAGTGCCAACAAAGTAACATGCTCCCCCCTAAAAGAAATTCAAGTTCAGCCCTGAAGAAAATACTTACAAATCTAGAGGAGTTGTCATTCCTCACAGTTTTGGCATTTCCAAAAGCTGGAGAAAAACAAATAACAACAAAATCTATCAGTACAAAATATTTAAATGCAAAAGATATCTATGACTGTTTATAGATTAAAGGAATCAAAGTTCTGGGTATCAGTCACCAGGGACACATTGACAGACATGATCACAGATGAGAAAACACCTAGGGAAGTCAAGAAAGTTTTGTCCCAGCATTTCCTTTGTTTAAAGAAGCGAAGGAAAGCGAAGGAAAGCGAAGGAAAGCGAAGGAAAGCGAAGGAAAGCGAAGGAAAGCGAAGGAAAGGAAAACATACAAGTGTAAACAGTTCCAAGATAAAGCTGCACCTGGGTTGAGCACATATCCTTGGGGTTTGGATCAAATTTAAAACGCTGTTACCCAAATAACTTTAAATATAAGAAATACTTCTTTATCTTCAATTTAGAGGAAGAAATGAATCTTAGTTTCCAACTGAAGATGGCAAAAGATTGAGGCCAGAACTGAGGAAATTACAGAATGATACTTGAAAATTGTTTGCATGGGACAGTTCAATCGTTTGAAATGGATTTATTTGTGTTATTTCAACACATTTATCCTAGCTTAAGCTGAACATTAACCAGCTGAAGTAATCTGATTTACAATGAAAGTTTAACGCAGTCTCTTCAGCTTGACCTAAACTGTTTCTGAATAGTTCAGTTTCAATTACTTTAGCATGAGTTTTCTGACAATGAAAAGTCTCAGAAGAAGGGATTCCCAGGCCCCCCTGCATTCAGGTAGGGGCAGCCATCAGCTTTGAACATAGGCAGGACAAGAACTCAGACTGGAAGGCACTTCAAGCTCTAAACATCACACATTCTCAAAGCATGTTGAGTCAAACAGGAGTGTCCCCTACATTATTAAGTATAGTGCTCCTATTCCAACAAGAGACTTTATTTATTCCAGTATTTATTTATAAAGCATATATATTTTCAAAGATCAAGTCAAGTCAATGTTTTTGGACAGAAATAAATACATGCTTTTAGGATTCAACTTGCATGAGTAGACTTATTCTTGATCAAAGAACTGAAGCCAAAAGGAAAAGTTTTTTGCTCCTGAAGGCTCAGGATAAGTGAAATAATTGTTTTAAAAATCTTTATGCCCTGCAATAAATCATATTTTCAACAACCAAATCTCTGAGCTGCATTTTCTTAAACACAGTGTTGAACAGTAGAGTCATTTATAACTGCACAGAACCAAGCACAAACATTCCATTATAAAGCATGAGACACATTGCTCAGTTTTCCCTTAAGTTCATTGTTTTCAGAAGTTAATTTACAGTAGCAACTATAGTTAAAAAATAAAAATCCCCAAAGATAAATTATGCATATGTAACATTTCTGTCATTTTCTTGCACGGCAGCTCAACTGAAACAGATGTACATAACCAAAGAAAAATAAATCTAACCACAAATGCTTTATTTCTGTCTAAAGCATATATAAGCAGCCAGGCTTGCTCAGAAGCCTCGTGGAATAGTCCAGTGTCCTACCTCCCAACAAGTTAAAGAGTCAGCTACCACAGCAGCAAGTGAACAAATAATACCTTAAAATGATAAGGCAGTCTTCTGTAAGCTTTGCCTATTCCTCTTGCATGAAAACAAATATTCACAAACCAACAAGAAGCTGGCAGTCCCTAGGGAACAATCTAGCTTTGGAAAAAAAAAACACTCCATACTTCCCATACTATTTCTGTCTACAACTTAAATCTGCCTTCCCAAACAGTGATAAAAGTAACATCGCTTTTCCCTGTGAATTCAAAAAAATGGAAGATTGCAATCCCCCCATTCAGCTTATGTGGAACGTATCTCACCATCGAAGAAAGGCTCATCCAGCGTTTTTATTATTCTTACATTTTAACATTTCATCCTTACAAGTCTTTGCTTACAATGTTTATTTTGTCAGTGACTACATGTCAACGGTCAGTGACCACATTTTACCCACCCAGTTCACCACTGCTCTCAGCCTACTTTTGCGTTCCTTTCCCTTACTTTTATTTCCCTCCCCCTGTTCTCACTTGTGGAATGCTTATTCCCTATAAACTTTGAACCATGGTACAGGTAGCTAGGCAATAAATACAATACTGAGACTCAACAGCCTTACAAACACTGCATATCATAGGGCCATAATGCAGAATTATTGTACAGTGGTCATGAGAATTTGCCTCAGGACTACAACAGCTCAGAAAGCTGTGCGAGGACTGAGCCAGGAATCAAGACCTAAATAAGTCAATGCTAACCAAGGCACTTCTGAAAGCAATTATTAGACAATGGGACAAAACTGCAATCTTTGAGGGAGATATATCCTATCTCAAGGAAAAATTAAAATTCTGTTTCTGGCAGCCTATGTCTTTAAATTAAAATGATTAACCAAGAAGAAAAAAGTCTTTCACGGGAGAGCAGGAAAGGAAGACAGGCCAACAAAGTCACCAGACCCAGGGAACAATATGTCTCAGGAAACAACAGGCATGCTTATGGATTGGCTCATTTTTTTCTAAGGTCCATTTCTTCACCCTTTTTTTCCTAAAGAAAAATAATGCTTTACAGAGCTTGCTTATTTACTAGAGACTATAATAATAATATAATTTGGGAGAAAATGAATCAGAGGGACTGAAGTTTTTTGACACAGCCAAGCATCATCAAGGCAGGGTTAAGAAAGGGTATGCCCTTGGAGAGCTGCAGAAGGAGTCTGGGAAATATGACCTAACTTCCTAAGCTCTCTCATCATCAGGGAATCGGTTTTCTTCTCAAGAAAACCTTTCCATAACTGAACAAAATCTTGTAGTTGTGTTTACAGAAAGCATTTCCTATGGTTTTTGGACACCAAATAACAACAAAGCAAGAACCAACACAGTTTTCCAAAGCAGCTCAGCAGGAATGCTGATACACGCAGAGGCAATACACTCATACATGGCTCCATAAGAGTCTTACCTTCAAGAACTGGATTTGACTGCAAAAGTTGTTCTTTTACTTGATTAACCTCTGCCCCTTTTCCACACACAGCAGCTACATATGACATCACAAGTTTGCTCGCCTCTGTGGGGGAGAGAGCAAAATAAAATAGTTGTAATAACTGGTGAATAGGCCATAAAATGATTTGCAGACTTGATTGCCATCACATTTTCACCATGCCAGACAGGAACTGTAAGCACATTTCATCTCTGTTTTCTTCTACATTATTGTCTCATCTGGAAATGAGAAAGGTACACATCCTGCCATGAGACACATGCCATTACATCAGTAGCCCTATTGTAAATACCTAGAGCCTTCTCAAGCTAAAGAAGCCACCAGTGGATATGGCACATTACCTACTGCTTTTTTACTTAGCTTCTGTGGGAGGCAGTTAGTAAGGAAAGAACATTATCACTAGCTGACATGCTGGAAATCAGAGAATCATAGAAAGGTTTGGCTTGGAAGGGACCTTAAAGATTATCCAGTTCCAACTTGGTTGGTGGCAGGGACACCTTCTACTAGACCAGGTTGCTCCAAGCCCCATCCAACCTGGCCTTGAACACTGCCAGGGATGGGGCAGCCACAGCTTCTCTGGGCACCCTCTGTCAGGGCCTCATCATTTTCATAGGGAAGAATTTCTTCCTAGTACCTAATCTAAATCTACCCTCTTTCAGTTTAAAGTTATTCCCTTTGTCCTTTGTCCTGTCCCTACACACCATTGTAAAAAGTCCCTCTTCAGATTTCTTGTAGCCCCTTTAGGCACTGGAAGCTGCTCTAAGGACTCCATAGAGCCTTTTCTTCTCCAGGCTGAGCAACTCCAGCTCTTTTAGTCTGTCTTCACAGGAGAGGTGTTTTAATCTAGCCTGAAGAAAATAGGCCTGAGCAGTTTCTAGCCACAAAGTTTAATGAGTTTATATCAGCAGATAAACAATAACACAAGTGTAAACACACAACACTACACAATATAACTCTAAAAGCACACTACAAGTAATCGAGTAACATCACATAACATTATTCAGTCTGTTTCAAAGTAGAGAAAGTGAAGCATTCATTTAAACAATGAAACTGATTTGAAGGTATACCCTTTTACACAGTCTAGAACAATTTCTGGACTCTCAAAGCTGGGTTCCTATGGGTATTAATCACCCATACACAGCCAGAAACAAATATTAAATAATACATCCAACCCATACGTTTTTGCTCATCATGAGAGAGAGCAGCTGAGAATGGATTCTGTTTATAAACAGTCTGTAACGTTTAGTATGATGCAAGAGAGTGAAATTTGAGGCAATATCAAATGATATACAATGTAATTACCAACAGCTGGAATCCCAACCAACTCAAGGCAGTGGTCATAAAAAACACCCATTACTTGTTCTTCAGAGATCTGTTACAAATTCAAGGGTTTTATTTCAGGAAAGAACTGACAAACAAGAAGTTACGCCTTGGATTTTGAGTCTTTCCTTTTTAATGAAATTTGTTTGCCAGTATTAAATTACTTTCCCACGTTGTAGAGGAAACTGAGCAAGACTGCAACACAGGGAGCAAGCAGGGAACAAGAACTACAGAGGTGCCCATAAGGCCTCGCATCTCCTATAATTGTGCCTCAAATCCAGCTCTCCCTTTTAAGAATCCATTTCCCTCAGAAATGGATTTGGAAGTACCAAATTATTTGAAGTATTTCCTAAAACAAACAACACCTTTAAGGAGAGTTATTCAGCCACTGAGAGAAGCACACACTGAAGCAGCAAATAAGCTATTACAAAATAACATGGATTAGGACAACACATAGTGACTTCAAACGTCACTGAGAGAAAATAATGCCCTGTCCTTCATTAGGAACTCTGTTTGGTGCAGTAAAGACACCAGGAAGGGAATCATCACCTTAACACAGAAAAACATGTAAAGACACCACTCATTCAGGTAATGCACCATGTTTTCTTGCACAACATTACTATCAATTAACATATAAACATGTCTCAAAACAAGAACAAAATTGGAAATAAATAATAAAAAACCCCACAATTCTTCCAGCCCAAATATACCAAATATTCTGGCTTCCAAAATCTAAACCAGAGTTAAATAGGATCTGTACTAAGAAGTTTGTTTCCTCAGCTCCAGGAACTTCTTTCCTGCCCCTTTAACTCCTTTTTTTATTTCAATGAAAACCTGACTTTTCAGTTAATAGCCCCATTTCAGCAACAGTAATTACATCAAATGTCAGAGACAGAATAGCACACATTCTGAGTTGATGATTGACTTAATTTCAAACCAGGTACTATTCTGTAGTTACCTTTCTAAAGAAGGAATAATTCATATTATGCCCCATATGACTATGAAAATTTCAGAAGAGTAATCTAAATCTACCAGAATGTTCTCTACAAGTAGAGAAGTTCAGAAACTCACAGCAATACCAGCACTGAACTCCTTTCTAAAGTCTGTACTCCTAAACAGAATCTCTAGCAACCGTATTATAGGAACTTGATTATTTTAACATACACTTTTACTGAAAACGCATGTGTTTTCATGTTATTGAACTGAAAAGAAAAGGATTATATTACAAGGATTCTATTTCAAGCCTTCTCAACTGGATGTCACTAATCAGACAAAGACAAAGCTTATGCTTTACATTTTCACAAAAGGCTTGGAAAGCAACTTCTTGTTATGCACTTTAAGTCTTCCTCAGTACAAGCATAAAAAGCTTCACGTTTCTCAGATTCATAGGAAAAACCTCTTAAATTACATGGAACAGATGTATGCGTTCACACCCGCTGTCTCTTTTGCAAGTCACCTCAGCTTTAAACCGTTATTTCAGAAAATAACTGGCTTCTTTCTTTTTTAAGGCCTACCTAAAATGTTCTGCAGTTATGCAATCCTTACTTGATTTCTGCCATTGCATTTTAAAAATTAGCAGTCATTTTCAAGGCAATCCCAGCTTTGCCTGAGAAACACAGTGTTCTGGTATCTAAACCAATCTCAGAATTGCAGCTGAGCACAGCATGCTAAAGACTGATGAAATTTCCAAAGTAATCAGCTACTATTATTTATTTTCCTTGGATAAATAGCATAATCCAGTTTAAATGCCTGTATTTATTCAAAGACATGAAAAAGTATCAAAGGATTGTATTCCAGTTTAGAAGGCCATGAGCATTCAGTTTTCTCCATGGGGAGAGCCTGAAAGTTTTCTGGCCTTGCAATACTCTTATCACAAAACCAGCATTACTTTTGTATGACTGCATGCGGATGAGGACACTGTACTAACATGCTATAGGATGGCATCATGGTGACTATGTGAAAAACACTAGTTTATCTTAAGTTCACATCTACACCAACAAGCCTGACAGCATTCATCTCCTGCAATTACTAGACACAGAAAGATACAGGTATCTCTCAAGTCTTGCAGACTCTAGCATCATTTTGCAAGATTCTGAACAACTCTCAGTTTTTCTTAGAAAGATCAAAACTGCTTCTTACCTGTTTTCCCAGCTCCACTCTCTCCTGTAATAAGGATGCACTGGTCTTTGTCCTGGTCCCTTAAAGATCTGTATGCTTCATCTGACAGAGCAAAGCTGCAAAGAAAGAGTCAATTGAGAATTAGATAAATACCAGCAATAACTACAATCTGTCCTTCACATCCGGGGGGGGAACTAAACAAATCTAAAATCAACACAAACAAAAAAACAAGTGCCAATATTCTCTAAGTGGTGAAACATTCACTTTTCAGAATATAAAGATCCACAGAAGCAAAATGGATACCTATTCTTAGTGGATTATTTAGACTTTCTCCAGGAACAAGGAAGCATAATCTAAAGTTTTTCTAAAGATAGCAAACTCAAAATAAATTCACATAATTTCAGGGACATTTTGAACAAAATGCCATATTCTTCATCGAACAAAACATCAATCCATCAAAAGGATGTGTTCTGGCTATAGACATTTACAAAGAAGGAAGCAGGAGAATCTGAAAACTAAAAATACCGTAAAATGTAATTTCTATTCTAGAAAGTATGAAGACATCTCAGAACCTTATAAAATATTGAGCATTTTAAGCATCCAAGAGTTGCTGGACTTTTGCATAAATGTGCAGAAGTGTTTCCCAGTAACTGTATTCTTAACTCAGAGAGGGTGATACCATGTAGTGAAATTAAAGAATATAGTAGGAATCAACAGCTTTTCAGTGCCAAAAATATCTTTTCATGGAGCTCTGAACATCATGACCCTGCAACTATTGGGCCACAGTTTGAATCCAGATGTGCTTTGTTGCTATGGATCACCATATATTTTGGAGAAATGCAGATGTGTTACTTATATTTAGTTTTCTTTAGTAGCAATTTTGAGACACAGAATGGGTAATACTGATTTTGTTTCAACTGCATTCCATATTCAGTTAATGGAATAAAGAGCTCTGGAAACTGAGTATTAGAACCCCTTGGAGAAACTTAAACAGTATATGAAAGAGCAAATAAAATCTCAAGGAAAAAGACACACTTGCATTATACAATTTAAAGAAAAAATCTGGTAGCCAAACACAGCATATTTTGCATGAAATAAACATCCATTCCACAGACCAAGAGCTCTGTTAGATTACTGCACCTGGTAAAATATTTAGTGTTTGTATGTACTTAAAAGCGGATATTGTTTATTCCTTGGAATAAACAAACCATGTATGAAAACCAGAAATAAACTCAGGTCAACATGAAACGCATAATTATTGCAGGTTCAATGCAACATTTTAGAAACTCAATCTTCATTCTCTGATAGTTCAGGAGCTTTGCATTCAGCTGCAGCAATAAGACAGGGGGCAATGGGTTCAAACGTAAACAGGGGAAGTTTAGATTGGATATAAGGAGGAAATTCTTTACTGTTAGGGTGGTGAGGCACTGGAATAGGTTGCCCAAGGAAGCTGTGAATGCTCCATCCCTGGCAGTGTTCAAGACCAGGCTGGATGGAGTATTGGGTGAGATGGTTTAGTGTGAGGTGTCCCTGCCCATGGAAGGGGGCTGGAACTAGATGATCTTAAGGTCCTTTCCAACCCTATTTTATGATAGCTTCAAATAGATCAAGTATTTATTTTTAATAATGTAACCATATAGTGCTTTCACAGGCAACCACAGCCCCTTTAAAGATAAGCAGGGTATCTGTCATGAAACTAGTTGGGGGGTACCATGAATAACACAATGCAAGCAGTGAGAGCCCTATAGAGCCTTTTCTAGTATACTATAGTTAGTTGATACTATTGTTATTACTGTCCCTTAGCTCAGGCAGTTCTTCCTGGCTTTGCTCCTCAAAAATGTTTACGGAGGGCATGTCATATTGTCCACAGTTTATCACCATGTGCATATGCAACAGTGTTTACACTTCCTCATCCGTCATCAGTATTAGATTCATTGCATATTTGCTTATTTGGGTTTTTTATTTTTATGGTTGCACCACGTTATCAGCTCAGCAACCCTGCAAGAGACCAGCAAACCAAGCAAGTAGCACTCTGAAAAGGTTGGAAAACAAGTAAATGAAATACCTTTGAAATACCTTATAGCTCCTTTACTGCTAATCTCACCCTTTCCTCCCTCTCTAGCTCTCGCCAATGATGCTTCTGTCATTCATTGCTCCTTCTTTGTGTCCCTCTCCTGCAGCCTGTCTAGTTGCATGACCAGCCCAGAGGTCCATCTATCTCACTGCTTTTCTCACTCACATTGTCTAAGGCATTAAATTACTATTCTCTCTGCACAGATGGGTGGGCCATCCATTCAACAACCAGGATCATTAACTTCTTTTGATACATATATCATTGGGCCTGAAATAAGACCCAAACTTAATACTGCTATGGTGACTGAAGCATTGGAACTCAGTAGCTCAACTGGAGGTGAAAACGTGTTTATGAGAAAGTAACAGGCTGTAATGTTTTTAGCATTACAACAAAGTCAATTTGTGATGCAGCCAATATGTTGGAGAACTAGCAAAAAAATAATGTTCTACTCCTGCTGAGAGACCATGACACAATTTCTGGCATCCACATTACTGTCCAGAATCCAAACTACAGTAGCAGTAACAATTTACCAGACTCTCTTAAAGGACATATTTGGGAAATTAGTTAATATTTGTTGAACACTGCCGCAGGTAGATTTGTAAATTCAAGAGTACAATGTGTGGCACTCAGAAAAGCTTGTTCCAGCACACATTATGTTTCTTTTTGAAAGCAAAACAAAAAAAAAAAAAAAAAAGGGAGTAGGATGAAGAGGAAAGAAAGTAATCACAGCGCATTCATGAGCCACGTGAGACAACCTTAATACTAATGCCACGGTTTCCATGGGTTGACTGAGGGAACTTCTTTCAGCAAGAAGGTGAGATGCTGAGATGCTTTTTAAACTTACAGACTGGATGGCTCATTCTGTGCCTGCTGTCCTTCAAACAATCTCAGCCATCAACTAGTATTTCACTGTTGGAACAACTTTCTTGGCAGCAGTCTCACACCAGAAAACAAAGTCAGCATCAAGCACAGAGAAAGTATTCTCTCTGTTGATACAATGAGTTATGAGTTAATCAGCTTAGTAACCATCCATCTTTTCTAATACACTGAATTTTAGTTTCCCAACAGCCCCTGACAAAATACATTTTATTGCTTGATGTATTTATTAACTGCACTGCACAAAATCATGTTTTTTCTTCTTCCACAGAGAAACTGAGAGTACAATACTGCAACAGGACGGAGGAGAGAGTGGGATTTTATCCAGTTCTGGTTTTATCCAATCTAATCAAGAGGCCCTTGGCAAACATCAGCTTTTCCTCCAATCTAAATGATCCAGAAAAGCCTAATATTTCACAAGTGTATCAACTATTACCTGTCACAAAGAAAGTAATTGCAAAGGAAGTTTTGTGTAAGCACTTATCAGAAGTTCCCTAATAGAAGTGTTCTAAAATCTACCTCTGACGTTTCAACCACCACTCCAACAATCCCATTGGAAGAGACATAAGCAAGCTTGGTTTTAAATAACTAGGATTTCTTTGTTTTTCTGGCATTGCATAAACAGCATTAGACACACTCATGTCAAAGTCTGAACAAAGATCTTTATCTCAAAGTAAAAGACAGATCTCTTCATTTGTTCTGTTGACTTTCACGGCATACCATTACACCCCACAGTCCTTCCTAGCTATTATCACCTTCTATCTTTGCAATTAGAAAAAAAGCAACAAACTGAAGAAACACCCAAACTTTGAGTCTTCTGGTTCAAACTCTGTTTGATCCAGAAATGTATTTTCATGCTATTCCCTATTTGTTACAAACTTATAAAGTAATTTCATTTAAGGTCATTTCAGTTTAACACATTTTAATGACCCACAGACCACAAAGAATCCTGTTCTTTTCCTTTTAGCAACATTAAGGGAAATGGCTTTGTAAAGTAAACATCTGCAACCATAGGTTTAAGCCACATACCACTCTTTGAGCCACCTCACTGTTACAGAACCTAAGTAAAAGTTGAGAATAGTTTCTAGTTTAAAAAGCAGTTATAAACCATGTGTTTTGAATTATCTGGTGAGTGTGTCAGCAGTGTCGTTTACCATACCTTATAATAAGCTCTCCTTTGATTTTTAGGTTTCCATGAATGAAGATGACATTCTCCTACCACAACACACAGAAATATTTACTGGAGTTCTCTTTTAGCTAGGGCTTAAGTATAGAAGCAATCTGAAATTGAAGCACTACCCACACCTAGCTCAGGAAGAAGGCTCTGCTCTTTTTTATAGCACTGCTTTTTCAGCCACATAGCTCCAGATGGCCAAATCTGTCACAAAGTCTTAAACTAAAAAAAGTCTAACAAAGCAAAACACCAAATAGGCCTCTCAATTTTCAGCAGCACAACAGCATCTCTGTGCTCTAACAAAACACCAGGGTCAGGAAGAGATGGGTCCCACCCATTCACCCCAAAACAAGCACCAACTGCTAGTGCTTCAGATGAATGCTCAAGATTGCACCTAGAAATACACAAAGGGCAAAAAACCTTGCTCTTATTGTTATAAATCCAGCTCACAGGAGCAGCTCTTCTAACATCTTTTACTTTTCAAATAGAATCACAAGGATAAGAATTTGCCAGCTATTGGTACTTCTTTCCACTATCATTTTCACTCTTCCTCTCACTTCCTTTAGCATTCTCAATTAACAGTAATTAGTTAACACTCTTCTAAACTCTCTCTGATTGCTTTCTCTTACCCACTGAGTCAATTCCCCCGTACCATTTTCATTGGCTGGTGCTTTGATTGCGGAAGTCTCAATCCCCATTTTAAAACACTTATTGCTTAGTCTTGGCTTGCCACCGCCAACTTGTTTGACACTTCCAAAAGCAATTAAGAAAAGCTCTCTTCTTGACAGTTCCAGTTCCCCAGGAAGCAGAGCCCTGGTACCACTTTATTTCTGCTCAACTGTGTCTGAAAACAATGGCAGGATACTAGAAGTCAGTGGTTATCAAAGACTATATACCATGCTAGACTAAAAAAAAAAACAGCTGTAAAACATAAACTATACATACATTTTCAATGTACATTTTACATAAAATGTAATTCATATTAATTCTTT